ACAAGTGCTAATGTTATTAGTAACTCGGGTGTCAGACCACTAAAAGAGTAAAAGAAAAAGTGAAAACAATAAAAAGCAATAAAAAGCGATAAAAACTCTGCAGACACTCTAAACCTCCCCTGGTTAGCCTCTGACTGGGAAATAACATCCCGTCCATTTTACCTTGGCATCAACCTGTGTGTGAGCTGATTTCTTTTTTTCTTTCATGCAACGCTAGATTAGACTGATTTACTCGGGTCAACCCGGCAGACTTTGTGTATATGGTATAGTTAGTGATATTATACGTAGGACAATGTAACATTCTTTACTCTTTAATGTCTGCATAACAAAATAAGTTGGATCAAATAAGTTTGATCCTTAATACTATTTGATTTAAGAACACAAGGCCAAGACCACAATTTAGAGGTCCTATTATAATAATAACAGACCTTCACACTTTCTCCATATTGGGAGGATTTTAATGAGAATAATAAACAACTTTAGGTAAAACCAACACTACTGGTCCAGAACAACATATTCTATACTCCGTATACAACCATCTAATCTATCTTCCAATGCCAACGTGGTCCTACAAACACCTAACCAGTTATATGACGTTTACATTATGTACTCTGTTAACTATAGTAGTTAGTTAGTTATAGTTATTGTATGTTACATGAGTACTTATGTACAGCATGCCACCTCGCACATAGACAACCCCGCCCCATGAAACGCAATTACCCATTGCACAGACGACAATGCTTGTCTCCAATCCAGCAGTTTGTCAGGAAAGGTCCAGTGAAGAAAATCGCATTTAGCTCTTGTTAATATATAACTATCTGATATTGTCATTATTTTGTATCCCGGTGTTCGGTTAGTATCCGACATATGGAGACAGACTGTATATTCCACCTCGGCCTCCTGATGTCTAGAATAGGCATTATTACTATGGAATACGGAGTACGGAGTAATATTTACCCCATTCCACCCACCATGGTTTGGTGGGGTGTAGCCTGCCATGCCAGCTCGGACGAGAAGGGGCGACAATGCATGCACACCACTAGTACGGAGTAATAAGTATGGTGTTATATCAAAGACATACATATAATCAATTAAATATAGACAAAGGTATGAGTGCTTACTAGTAGTTGAGTAATACTAATTGTTGGTATTGGTGCTACTTGGAAAAAAAAGCAAGTAAAGGCGTTTGCATTAGCGGCCCTTCTCGTCCGAGCTGGCATGGCAGGGTACTTATCTACGAGGTACGGCCCGAGTCATGCTTACATTTTGTTGTGCGAGATAATAGATCTAGTCAGTCGAACTATCCTATCGTCTATACCTTGAATGTCCTACATCCATCCATACATCCATAATCCTAACTCCTTGATAAGCACGTTTAAAGTATAACTAGTTCATCTGTGCCACCTCAGGTCACTTTGGATATCCACGTATCTTCCTTTCTATCATGTAGATATGTCGGGATTAATTGATTATCCTTTCGTCAAGTTGTGCTACATACATCAATACCACGCTACTCCTAACAAGTGATCAAACCCATAAAATAATCATATTATTGGTGCAACATTGCTATTAACTATTACCCCCCCGGTCTGCATTCCATTGTTGCGTTCCATCCAAACATCTTCGGACTAATGCACCTGTGGAGATAATCGCCTGCTCTACGTAACCAGATACCGGTGAGGCCATCAAAAGGATTCACCGGTCTCTATCCGCTAGACAATGGGGTTTCAGGTTACAACCTGGGGTATACGAGAAAGGCTTAATAATGAAGACCCTGAAAAAGACCTAAATTCTCCTTAAGTGTCGTACCAGATAAAACCAAAAATCATCATCTGTATTGGCGTTATATGCAAGATCATCAAGTCAAGAACTTTTCTGTCCTATTGACCAGGAGAACAAACTCCCACAAATCATTACTGTGTCAAATAAACATAGAAATCATCCACAGTAAACAGTCGTGGAAACCAAAAAATGCGCGTCAAATGAACATTTGGACGAGGAAACTCGGAGGGGGAAAAAATATGAAACATCAAACGCCCAACACCATTTTGCACCCGGTATCGAAACCAATGGACAGTGATTAAGAATGGGTCTCGTTTCAGCCGCATCAGCATCAGCATCAGCGGGGCTTCTAACGACGATCTGTCTTGCCCATACCACGCTTTCCGGAGAACTGAAGAGGAACAAAAAGTTAGCAAATAATACTGACAAAAAAAAAAAGACAATGTAGGAAAAACATACCAAGTGCTTCGCGAGAGAGACGGTTGTGTGACGATCAGCCTCACCAGCACGAGCCATGCGGTTCATCTTCTTCTGGCCCAGCTTAGCCATACGCTCAGCCTTATCACGGTTACTAAAGGTGGTGACACCGTCGTGACGACGATCAGTTGCCGGTGTGCTGCGGGCACGGCTCTTAGCGCGAGCAAGGGCCTTGTGTGGGTTGTCGTCGACGTCCATAGCATCGGGATCGGCAGTAGGCTCACGGATAGTAGTGCGGCCGCGAGGTTGGTTGGCGGCGCGGGCACGAGTACCAGCGGCACCATTGTCGTAGCCAGCGGAGTCCAAACCCCTGGTCATCTCGGACAGCTTCTTGGACTTGGCGCTGCGGGGGATGGCGGCACGGTTCTTGAGCGACTTGCGCATCTTGGCTTCGTTGCGCATCAGCACGCGCTTCTCGCGGATGAGATCGGCCTTCAAGCGGTTGTCGGCGTCTTCGACATCCTCCACGCTCTCGTCGGACTCGTAATAGCCATCTGCCTCGAGCTTCTCTTCTTCCTCCTCGAGGGTAGCGAGCTTGGTCTCGATATCCGGATCCACAAAGTCGTAGATGTTCTTGCCCTTCCACACTTCGGGGATCTTGTCGTGGTTCCACTCCTCGTTGGCAAGGGTGTAGTCGCGCTGCATGTCGAAGTTGTAGACACCGGCACCGCCATTCTCCTCTTCGATGTCGCGCTCCAGTCTCCGGCGGTTGGGGTCGTTCTTGTCGTACTTCTTGAGATCCTTGACGGCCTCGGGAATGAAGGTCTCGCGCAGACCGCCCATAGGCTGGGCCACGTGAATACGGGACAAAACGTCGCCGATACGGCTGCCGGGGGTGGCAGCGCTGGAACCGGACTTGAGCTTCTGGGAGACTCGCTCAGCGAGGAGCTTGTCGCAGGCGGCGTTCTTTACGGCGGTCACACCTTCGGTGGTGGTGCAGGAAGCCTGCAGCAACTCGACATCCTCTGCTTTGAGGATCTCCTGTAGTTGCTCCTGGTACTCAGGCTCCAGGTCCTCAGGACGGCGGACATCAATCTTGTTAACAACAAGGAACACAATCTTGTTGGCGAACAAGGGCTTGATGCTGTGGAAAAGCTTGATCTGATCGCCGACGGAGTATCCACACTGCTCGGAAAGATCCATGAAGTAGAGGATAGCGGACCGCAAGTGAGCAACAGCGGTGATCGATTGCATTTCAATCGTGTTCATCTCCTCCAGAGGGTGGTCCAGAATTCCGGGGGTATCAATAGCCTGGAAACGGAGGTATTTGTAATCGAAGTGACCGACGAACAAACTTTTAGTGGTGAAAGCGTAGGGCTGAACATCGACGTCTGCGCGGGTGATATTGCGCAGGAAGCTGGACTTTCCGACGTTGGGGTATCCACAGATCAGGAGAGTACGAGTGTTGGGGTCGATCGAGGGCAGACGACCCAAGTGCTGGCGGACCTGCTCCAGGTAGACGAGGGGGTCCTTCAGGCGGCGAGTGATGGTTGCCATGCGACCGAGGGCAGCGCGCTTGAGCTGCTTGCACTGGAACAGAGACTGCGCATACTTGATAAGACGGACGTAATCGCGAGAAACGGTTTCAATCAGGTGCTTGGCGGTCGAGACTTGACCAAGGGCGATACGGAAGTGGTCGGCATCGTAAAGAGTGTTCATCAAATCCTTGTCTAGTGGATATTAGACCCCACCCGAGCAGCCATAATCGCCATAGAAGTAAAACTTACGGAAAGGATGAATATCCTGGAGGCGAGGGAATCCATCAAGGATGTGCTGGAACTTCTCACCGAAAGTCTCCTGTGTATATTTGACCTTTCTGGTGTAGAATCCTGATGGGTAAAAAAAAAATTTGATCAGCGATTGTGCTTTATCGATAACCGCAATAACTTTTTTCTTCCATTTTGCCGCCTGTCGGATCAAATACAAGGATTGGATCATACCTCTGATACGGCTGATCTTGAAACCAGCACGGATCTGTGTGGGAAGCTGTCTCTGAGTGCGACTCAGGACAATATCCAGGAATTCCTGGTGTGTCGGCACAGGCGCAATCTACCAAGCGGTGAAAAACACATTAGCAATCTCCTCAGTCAAATCTGGCACCAAAGCGCAGTGGCTAAAATTAACTCACATCCTTCCACGTCGTCTTCATGATGGGCACAAGTCAGGAGTCAAAGAAGTAATGACTCTTGAAGTAATGCCGTGAGTGAATGGGTGTTGATAGAGTGGGTTTTTCTCCACGAAAAAATCGTTGGCAGTCCTTTTTTTCTGCCGGGCGGAGGGCAAATGCGGGGACCAGGATTGGACGAACCGTGATATAGGCGAGTCACGTGATATAATACAGACCAAAAAAGATCGAATACTCCATGAAGCCTTGAAAATCTGTATGGCATAGTTGTATATTGACATCTATCTGCTGCCATAATCCAACATCATGCTCATATACATTGCATTGTCGTCAACTATGGTACACAGCCCTTTATAACCGATTCAGGAAGCCCAAGCCGTTTCTGCCCAGATTTGTAAAAGTAATCCCGCCACCCAAAGAAACTCCATTGCTTTCCTCTTAACAGCCCGTCTAGGATAAACCCTTAAGATGAGACAAAAACATGGATGTGCGTAATTAGAAAGACCCATATCAAACCCGTCAGTGGTTTAACATGCTCCCAGCCGAAAAGATGCAAATTGAAAAAGAAAAAAATGAAAAAGAAGGAAGAAGGAAGAAGGAAGAAGGGAGAAGACTCTTACTCCTCAAGAGGCTCGGGACCAAACTCCAGGATCTAGTTGGTGTCAGCATATATTTTCTGATAGTCAAAAAAGAGAACATACCATATCAACCCAGCCACCACCACCGAATTGGCACTTGCTAGGGCCACGGGACTCGAAGCCAAATGACTCATAAAAGGGGATCAAGTGATCATGTACAATAATCGCAATGCGCTCAGCAATCTGGGCCTCTCTAATGCGGTGGATATATGACTTCATCAACGTGCTTCCGACCTGCTTGCCCTGGTGCGCTGGGTCCACAGCAAGCGAATGAATGGCAATAGTGCTGCCACCTTCTTCGTGACCAACGGACTGTCCATCTTCAACAGACCAACGCTCGTTTTTCCAGTTGGCCGGAAGTCGCATCGACCGGTCTGTCACAAGGGGCTCTGAAGTGCGAGTAGCAATGATGTGTCCAACGAGCGTGGGGCGGGGTTTGATTTCTCCTTCTGCGAGCAAAGGAAGAGTGAAGAGGCCCAGACTGAGCTCAGGGCATCTGGTGAGACGGTAAATGAACTATCAAAATGTTAGTATTAGTGCCGAAATCGCGTCCGATTTGTATCAAGTCTACGTAATTCAAATATTGAATTGGTACTTTATTTCGGTGCAATTGGATCTTTGCAAGTTTGAGGGTGGCCATACCTTATCGTGAGAGCAACGCTCCTGCTCGGGGAAGGCTTCCTCTACTTTCACGCAATCTTCCACATTAGATGCGGAGAGCAATTGGACGAAAGGATGCAGCTCATCCAGCTTTGTGCGGTTGTGGGAGGGTGGGCGGCGGAACCAGTATGGGAAATCGTTTGCATCGTCATCCTGATCAGCCGCAGTATAGTCCTCATCCACCTCGTCCTCGTCCTCGTCCTCGTCATCATCAATCGGAAACCCATTGGCTAGTTGAATGCCAGCACGACTCATGATACGAGACAGGTCGCTGTTGTGGGGGTTCCCGAGAGACAAGTCATCCGCATTGGACAGCGGCCTCAGCCCGTTGTCCTGGCCAGACATGGAATCAGAGAGGTATTCACTCCGATCGGACATAGTGAGCGATTGAGAAATTGACTGGGATATCGAAAGTCAGAACGGCTGGGATCGAAATTTCGGAAGGTGAGACCAGGCTAAGGTGCCACGATCAACTGGAGTGCAGGGGGGGGAGGAAGTACCCGGCTTGGTGGCGTAGACGAGGGATGTGAATCTAGAACGGTGGGGATTAATCTCATGCACGTAATTGGGACCAAATATAGAGTCGAACAGAGCCAATTTTAACAGTAAATTGACATCTTTTCTTCCCAGTAAAATTCAAGGAAATCCAAAGTGCTGCCAATTAATCGGGAGGGAAATGTTGGCAATTCATAAGAATCTGCGACGCTGTGTGCAAGGAGGGGTGTTGGGACCTTGCATTGGATTGAAGGGGAGAGCAGACTTACTTGAGATTTAATATTTGACAATATTTGACAGTATTTTGATAACTCCAGACCTCCTGGGAGAAGTGTTTCTGAGTATTCTTCCTGCAGGGCGTGGAGAAGGAACTTTGGAACTTTTTGCAGTGGCGGGGGAGTTCAGCCGATAAAGTACAGGAACTTATCAGTACTATTTCTGGCCCGGGTTCACCCTACATTACGATGTCTCCCATTGTACCGTTACATTTCGCCCCAAAGCGGTCTACATTTTTATTAGGGCTTTTAGGACTTGCCTATGTACCAATATGGAGGTAGAGTAGAACTGAAAAGTGGTTTTATTTTGTTTTGTGTTTGATAAGACTGGAATCGATATGAGTTCAACAATATCACAAGCTAACTAGATATATATAACTAGTTAACTAGTTAGTTAACTATACCTAACTATGTACTCCGTACGTAGTAGCAATATCGCCCTCTGGGGCGGCTACATTACTATAATACGAATTAGTATAGCCTCGTAAGTTCTAATAAATAGTCTCTAATTCATTGCAAGAGATATTTAAGTATATATTCAGAAAATAACTAAGCATTCTTGTCACGAAAGTGATTTTGACATGTTGACTTTTGTTTTTATTACAATGTACCCTATAAAAGAAATACTTCGAGTACGTTTCCTTCTTTTTGGATCTCTTGCTATCTGATCTTATTCTTGAAGCAATCTAAATCCAAGAAGGGTTTCAGCCATTTCTGATCACATGTAGTTGATTGTATAACTAACTAGTTATCTAACGATGAAAGTAGCTGCACGCAGGTATATAGTGGGTTTCCTAAAATCCCGACTCTAGCTGCATTTAACATACAAGGTGTACTTACAGAAGAGATAACTATTGCCTAGTTAACTATATATGTACATACATACATAAGTAGCAGCCCTGGAGTGGACATGTTAAATGCCTCTCTTATCAATCTTGGGTATCCACAGGCGGTGAGTTTATAACCGAGGATGCGTCATATTATTTTCTTTTTTTTTTGGTTTAATTTTGACTCATTGTTCTCAATTGTTCTCATTCCTCCTATATTGTCATGTTCTTTGTTAGTTCATGGTGAGATTGCTTCTTTGAGGCTCTTGCATTGGTGCGCCAACTGCCAACTGCTGGAGTAATTGATCCCACATATACTCACTCAACCATGAGCTCCCGAACATTCAACTGGTCTCGAACGGCCAAATCCTCATTGGTCAAGGTAACCAAACCCGATATACACCCGCCAATGCTGAGCATTTATTGACTAGACTTTGAAGCAACATCTCGTTCGTCCCAGTGATCCCATTGCGGCGCGCCCGGCACAGGCGCAGAATGCCCGAGCCCAGCAAGTTGCCGAGTTCTCGGGCAGCCGCGAAAGCCAAGATCGTCTCGGCCACCGTGCAAAAGAGAAATTGCTGGATCGGGTAGGTAGCAGGTCACTTTCTTTTTTTTTTGAGTGTCATGCTAACGGTTGCGTGTTCGGCTTAGGAATTCTTTCTCAGCCTCCTGAACTCCGCATCGACTAAGCGTGAAGCTAAGTCGTACCTAGCTCGGCTCAAGGCTAGCCCCGCCAAACCAAACCAAGAATCTACCGAGTCCCCAAAGGAGTCCATATCAGCATCTCTGCCCTCTGGGGTCAATTTGGGGTCATTCTATGGTGCTTCCAGGGCGGTGTACGACAGTCCTGTCTTCCGGCAAGATACAACTCCCACTCCGAGCGCGCAGGATATACCCGAAAGGTTGCACTTGGCCCTGATCAAAATCACCACTCCGCAATTACTCGACGATGTCGTGATTAATGGAGTGGCCAAGACACTGTCGCAGCTCGTCCGCCTGGGCATGGCATGCTGCGTGGTTGTCGATCCTGGAAAGGTGGACAGCCCTGCCGGGCGACAAACAGCCATTGAGCAGGCGAATCGGATATCGGCGGCGGTCGATGGGCTGCCAGACTCGAAATCCTTCCGACTAGACTCGGCGTTATCCATATCAGAGCGGGCGTCAGGTCCACCCACGGTGCTATCGCGAAAAGTGCTCCTGAGCGCCCTTCGGGATGGTCATGTGGTACTCGTTCCCCCAATCGCCTATATGGAGGAAAATCCTCGAGCTGTCACAGTTTCGGCTAACGATGCCGCCCTTGCCCTAACAAAAGAATTTGCAGGATTGTCATTAAATCCAGACCCGGACGAAGACCCAGCAGTGACGGTCAGGAGAATCCGTACGTTACAGAGGGAGGTCTCACTGGACCGTGTCATTGTTCTCGATCCACTGGGGGGTATCCCGGCATTCAAGGGCCCTCAGTCATCGCACGTTTTTATCAACATGGAGCAAGAGTTTGATCAAATTAAAGACGAGCTTTCCCAGGCACGAACCTCTGTTTCTGGAAACAATAATTCTTCAAAACAAGCCCTAAGCAATAACCAAATCTTGGAAACAAATCCGATGTCAAAGTTTGTCAATCGTGAGATTGTCTCGCCTGAGGAACCTACCACGTCCGGTCAATCACCGGACGCCGAGATGATGGAGGATGTGCTAGATGGTCATTTGCAGAATCTCCGATTAGCCCAACAAGCATTGGCCATGCTACCATCAGCCTCCTCAGGCATTATCACCTCCCCACAAGAAGTTTCCTACTCAGCCCATTCACCGCCACAGGCTGCCTCAGACCTGTCAGCGGTCGGAACCCGTCGACAGCGCAACCCGTTGATCCACCACCTTCTCACCGACAAGCCTCTCCTATCATCCTCTCTACCTCCAGGCCGACGGGGTTCTTCCAATGGCGGATTCACCGCATTCAGCCCGATCACCTCCCACACGACCTTTGTCAAACGCGGAATGCCGCTTACGATTCTCCCCAACCCCTATACAAAACCCTGGGTAGCCCAGACCCAACCACGACTGGGACTGAACGACCCTAGCATCGACCTTCCCCGCCTAGTCACCTTAATTGAAGACTCTTTTGACCGCAAACTCGACGTCCAAAACTACCTCGACCGAGTGAACAGTCGTATCGCCGGTGTCATCGTTGCCGGCGAGTATGAAGGCGGCGCAATCCTCACCTGGGAAACGCCGCCGGGCGTCCCAGACGACGGAAGCGAAGCCAGTGCTGCCCGCATGGTGCCCTATCTTGATAAATTTGCCGTGCTCAAGCGCAGCCAAGGCGCCGGCGGTGTCGCAGATATTGTGTTCAATGCGATGGTGCGCACATGTTTCCCCAATGGAGTCTGCTGGCGTAGTCGCATTGACAACCCGGTTAATAAATGGTACTTTGAGCGGTCCTCGGGTACCTGGAAGCTGGCTGATAGTAATTGGGCGATGTTCTGGACGACGCCTGGGCTGGTGGAGGACACTCAGCGCTTCCAGGACTATGAGGCTGTTTGTCGGTCTATTCAGCCTAGTTGGGCTGATAAGAAAAGTGTCATTGACTGACACATGTATATTGAAAGGAACATTGGTATCGAGTAACATCAACGGTTTTCCCCGTTGTCTAGGAATACGCATATACCCTCTAAACCTAGGCGATATCCAGCTCATCCTGAATATCGTGAGCAATGATTGTTTTACATACAAGGGAAGTGGTCGATATGCCTTTAATATCAAATTCGATTTTGGGGACATAACATTTGAGCATGCCAAAGTATATTTTGGGTTATTTTTTAGGGCGATTCGTAGAGATATTCAACTTGTACTACCGCAGACCAGAATTCGGTTGATGATGCATGGAAATACCTAGGTAGGAAACTGCGCTAGATTTTGTAGATTTTGTAGATTATGATGGGTATTAAGCCTGTGTTACAGCAGGCCATGATGAATTCGGTTGAGAACGCATGAAAATATTGAGAATATTGAGCCTGTGCCATAGTAGATCTTGGTGAATGTAAAACCCTGCACAAACCTTCCTGTTCGATCAGAAGTGATGGAATCGTTTAGAACATCACAGTTCCCACCTCTCACCGAGAAGGAACATAGACATAATCCTAACTTAACTGTATGCAAGATCAAATTCGGTGGGATCTGCCCTCAATTTGATAGTTCGTCATTGTCATCGCAGTCTGCCCCCTGCCGTGAAACATGGTTTTCCATGCACATCACTATATTCGTGGGATGATATTTGTATGGGCAATCTTTTGTTCATCATGCGGACGGCTGGCAAACTGGACTCGTGAAGTATATAAATCACACAGGATCATCACGAAGCATTTTTCGTCAAGCAGTCGTTCAGCTGTTAATCTGCCCCTTCCGTCCTTTTATCTTTATTTGTCCATATCATTTCACCACCATGGGATTCAGGTCCTATCCCCAGCGTCTAGCAAATGTCCTTACCACCAGACGGTGGGAATACTTTGCAGTTAGCTGTGGTAGCCTCTGCATCGCGTTTTTCGTCATCGCATTCGCGGTATCGGGAAATATCCCACCCACCGCACCATGGTGGGATGCTAAGCGAGTCCACGCTCATTACTGGGCCCATGTGAAGGGTAGCCAAGCCAGTAGTGTATTTCTCATGGTCGCCGGGGCTATTTATGTCGTCTATTCAGCAGCTCTCACACGGCAGATTCGTAAAATCCCCGAAATCGATCCCATCCTTGGCGACCTTCAACTTGCGAGTGCAGCAGCAGGTTTCAGCGCCTTTATGCTAGGCGCCATTGCTATGGGCCTATTGACATTCCGCGATTATGGCCCGGAGTTGACACAGCTCTTGAATGATATTTTCTGGATGGCCACATTTTTAACGTGGCCAATCTTCTTGGTGCAGATGTGGACGGTTGCGTGGGCCAGTCTCGGCGATAAGAGCTCCAACCCTGTACTTCCTAGAAGCATGGGTGTGATCAACTTTGTCGCCCCCATTGTCTTTGCTTTGAGCAGCGGAATCCACATACATCACACGGGTCCTATGGCATGGAATAGCGGCCTTGTGTTTTGGCCTAGCATGATAGCTTTTGGAGTGCAAGTCAATATTGACACCTGGTATATGTGGAGGAATCTAGAAGATAGGCGTCATCTTCCCTAGGGACCAACGTGTTGCCGGCGTCACCTGATTTAAAACATTGTCAGGGCAGCTCCAATCTCCTAACTCGCCAAAGCAGATTGGATACTACGATGACTGGCAACTAGCATGGGCGTTGCAGTTCAATTATTACGGTCAAGAAAGTGGGGAGAAATTGTTTTGTTCAGATTGTAGGGAAGAAGCATAGAAAATATCGGGATATGGAATGTATTGAGTGGTGAGATGTTGACGAAGAGAGGTAGTAAGGGAATATTTCGTTATTACTATCGTGGATTATATGAACCACCAGTATCCATTCGTAAAAAACAGACATTCGTTGTAAAACCTTGCAAAACGTTGTGGATTCTTCATCTTCCAATTATATATCCTCTGTTTATGCCGAGCCTCAACAATTTCACTCCGCCGCACCTCGCTAATTACATACATTGCTAGTGGATCATGGATCCATAGTATTGTGGAAAGTTTGGAAGATTGAACAATAAATAAGAGGAAAGTAAAATATTAGATGAAAGTGCGAGAATATAATATTTTCACACCAGAAACGGCAAAGCGTCTCTGAGGATAGTCTTGAACTGGCCCAGAGCAGGAAGAGTCATAAGAATTTGACCGAGTCATAAAGAGTATCCCGATTTACGAATCCCGATACCGGGGATCTTCTGCACTTCCCGATCTGCCGTTCGGCTAAGTTTCGGTATAATTATAGTCTGGGTATCCCTTCCCAGTAGCTTGGCTTGACGTACATGTTCTTGGCTCACGAAACCTTGGCCAAAAGCCAAGGCCAGAGAGTCGACCAGAGAGTCGGTGCCGGTAGAAGGAAAATAAGAATACGACAGTTGCTTTGACACAATATCCTCTGATTGAAACGAGTTTATGGCCGTTGCAAGTGAAGATATAGTCAAGTCAAAATAAAAGTGTAGAAAACTACCTAGGTAGTTACAGATGGTGAGTACAGGGAGACTTGTGGGGTTGTAAACCCTAAAAACCCTTGGCTTACCCCGATTACCCCGGTTTCCTTGAGAAGAAACGCTTGTACTCCGCAGTTTCGGATGGTTTGACTGGCCTTCGCCGACTAGACTTCGCCGACGGAGAAAATTTGACAAAACGTCGGTGATATCTCGTCTTGGAATTTATTCTTGGCGGCGGCCAGATCATATTGCACCGAAACTTTGTTGTTGTTGTCGGCTTATCTTCATATCAGCCTAAGTCCTTTAGAATGGGGATATAGTATGTCGAACCCATGATTGATCGAATACCTCTACAAACAATGTGCCTCTGCTCAGGTTCACGGGTGTTTTTAGAGCATCTCAGGTACACCCCCGGTATATAAAATGCCTTTGCAAGTGCGTAAACCATACAGAGAGATCCAGACCCACATCACGCGCAAATATGACTTGGCCTACACGTTGGCTGGAGAAAAGCGGGGGACCAAGGGTCTCGAATGGAAACTCTGAAGATGCTCGGCCGTGGACTACCTACCCCGTGGAGATTTTCCCCCGACATTCGGGCTCCAAGTTCTTGGTGTGGTTTGGCAACCATTGAACTTTTCCTCCATCAGAACGATATAAAAAGTCGTTCCCCTACAAACCGACTGGTCCAATTAGTCCGAACTGTTTGCTTGTTCTCTGTGGGCTCTTGCCTTCATTGGGTTTACGGTTCTTTATTACCTTCTCAAATTACATTTGGTTTTTCCCAACATGGCCGGTCTTCATCTCAACATCGACTGGAAGTCGAATCGGCGGGCCATCGCCTACTGTCTGGTGGCTGCCATCGGTGCCCTTTGCTACGGTTACGATACGATCTATTATACCGGAATTCAGGGCATGACATGGTTTGCCAAGGACTATGGGGAGCAGAACGCCGATGGCTCCTACTCGCTTGGAACATCCTTCCTATCGCTGTCTGCTAGCATTATCTATGTGGGAGAGTTAGTCGGAGCTCTTGCCGCCGCTCCTATCAATGACTTTTTCGGCCGGCGTGCTGTGTTTCTGTCAGCCTCTCTTTGTATCGTTATCGGAGCCATCGTGCAAGTGTGCTCCTTTGGCTCTGATTCAGTCTTCTATGTCAGTCGTGTTTTGATTGGTCTAGGTGTCGGGCAGTTCACCGCGACTTGTTTAATGTATATCGGAGAGGTCGCGCCGTCCGCCATCAGAGGCCCGGCGCTCATGTCCTTCCAGTTCATGCAGTCTATCTCACAGTTAGTCGGAGCCTGTGTCAACCAAGGCACGCAGAGCATATCCAGTGCTCAATCTTATCGCATCCCTATGTGCCTGCTGGTTGTTCTCCCCGGCATCATGCTTCTGTGCCTTCCTTTCACACCAGAAAGCCCAGTGTGGTACATGTACAAAGGCAAGCGCGAGAAGGCCATCAAAGCTCTCCACAAAATCAACCGCAGCTTTCGTGACTATGACCCTTCGGAGGACATCCAAGCAATCGACGACCAAGTCCAAATGGAACGTGAAATGGCGAAAGATGCTACCTGGCTGTCGCTCATCACGGATCCTATTGAACGCCGTAAACTATTCTACGCCTGTGGCGCCATGTTCGTGCAGCAGATCAACGGTATCCAGTTCTGGTACACCTATGGCGTTGTATTTGCACAATCGATCGGCGTCGCCGACCCCTTCACCATAAACACCATTATCTACGTCCTACAAATCATTACCGTCGGCGTTGCAGTTGTCCTCGGAAACAAGATCAAGCGCCGCACGAACCTCATCCTCTGCTCAGGGGGTATCTTCGTCTCCCTCATCGCCGTCGGCGGCCTGGGCACCACCCGGTCTCCAGACGGCACCTTTGGACGTGGCATCGGCATCGGCATCGTCGTTCTCGCCTACATCAACATCATCTTCTACAACTTCTCCATCGGCACGCTTTCATACTCCATCGCATCGGAAATGTCCGTTGGCCGCAACAGAAACAAGATCACCTCGTGCGCCATGGCCGTATTCTTTCTTACAGTCTGGCTCATGGTTTTCACCAGTCCTTACATGTACTACGAGGGCAATTTAGGTCCGATGATCGGTTTCGTCTATGGAGGGACAACCCTGTTTTTGCTAGCGTACTCGTGGTTCTGTGTTGGTGAGACTGCGGGTCGGACCAATGCGGAAATTGAGAGACTCTTCCAAGACAAGGTTCCTGTTCGCCAGTGGGCGACATATGTGATTCCTTCCGATGATGCGGTAGTTATGAAGAAACAGGGCACCGAGGAGGAACAGATTGAGATGGCATGAGTTGTATGACATTAATCCACTTATATATATGCGTATAGAGACCGCTTATACAATTTTAAAGGATGTTGAATAATATCACTATGGAGTAGTACACTACGCAGCCATGTAAAATCTTGGGATGGATCTTTCACAAAAGAGGAATACTTTGCAGTATAGAAATGAAACTGTAAAACTGTCTAACCTCTTCATACCCATTATAGAATATACATTATACTACGATATTTCTCTCTATTCTCTATAGTCTTCCCATTTTGGGTCGAAGGTCTCGACCCAAAGCCCAAGGTCTAGATATAAGTTAGACCTAGTGACTAGTTAGTAAAATTTCTGTCCCAACGGTATCCCGCTTTCTACTATGCATATCACCATGATATTCGAAAATATCCAATATCTCAAATTGTATGTATTAACAGGTCAGCCAAAAAAGTCCTTCTGACCCTTCAATGCTTTCGCTAAGATTTCCGGATACCATCGCTGTCCAACATCTTGGTGACTGGTCACCCGAGCAATGAAGGTGCCTTGGCCGATGCTCCCACGGAATATCTCATTAAAAGTTGCCTCTGCGTCTGATTTGACCTTGTCATTTTTCACCAAGTCACGGATATGGACTGGGATCTTCAAAGAGATCTTATCGGCAGAAAGATCGAGACTCACTCCCTGGAACACAGGGAAGGAAAACCTAGGTCCTAAACAGCCGCCGTGGAAGTTCTCCGGCCGTAAGCTTACACGGTGAGTGGTTGCTGTGCAGATCCCTCCAGTCAACGCCTCCAAGGACCGGCCAATGTTAATGACCAATGTGCCCGGAAGTGGCGGAGCAGGAATCCATGTCCCGCTTTTATTTTGGACCTCGAGGCCATGGTGGGGAGTACCCTGCAAGAGGAATGTAAGGAATCCGGAATCTTTATGAGGACCAACACCTTGAAATCCGGGCTCCTCATTGCTAGCTCCAAGTGGGGGAGGGTATTTGATCAACTTCAATTTATGTTGCTGCGGGTTGTCAAAGACCTGGTCGAATGTAGTTGGCGGGAGATCCAATGCCTCCGCAATCAACCCTGGGAACAACTCTGCTAGGCTGCTCACTTCCGACAGATATGTGTCGAATGATTGACGAAATCCGGGAATTGCCGTTTCATCTGGCCACTGACAGGAAAGTTCATAAGCATTGACAGAAACGGAGACAAAAAATATAAGATCTTACCTGGTTAGGACCAACCACATTCCTATATAAAGGCTCGTTTGGACCAGGTGCAGGGAGCTCGGTTGCGAACTGACAAACGGTGTTGGTAGATATGTCAAAAGGATAATAGAGCCAGAGCTTACATCAAATTGTTCACGATAATCAGGCTTTAAAGCCGTAATTTCTGCACCAAGCCTTGAGTAGCCCAAAAAGTGTGGACTATTCACCATTTCAATCTCAAGCTTCTTCTCTAGTGGTAGTTCAAAAAGACCTAAGGCCTTTTGTATAAACTGTTCTTGGCTTTGAGCCGAAATAGGAGCATTTTGGAGATAAAAAAAGCCAACATTCACAAGGGCTTCGCGAAGTTTTGTGAGAAAGATGGGCTTAGATGGGGATAGTGCCTGAGAGAAATCCAGAACAGGAATCGAAGTGAAAGATGAACCCGACTTGGAAGATCAGCGTAATTCCAAGCACATTGGATGTAATAGAGCATACCATTTTCTGAGATGAGAATCAAACACAGAGATGAAGTGCGGTGATTTCGGAGTTGAAAAAAAAGCAAGAACAATTTGAAGGTCTCTTTGATTGGACTGTGATGGCGAATGATGGCGAATGTGATGTTCTGATCGAAGACCAACCCCGCACTTCGGAGTACATCGAATTTATACCTATGTCCTTGGTTGTATATCTTCCCGATGCCCGGATTGATTTAGAGGTGTAAGAACGTAAATTCGTCTGGTAAGGACCTAATGATCTTCTCCATGGTATCATAGAATATACCGGAGCCAAACAGTCCGGGTTTCTAGAGCTTTCGAATTAGATGGATACGGGTAAATCCTGAGGCCATAACCTCGCCCAGCCTTTTGTTCATATGAACATGAACGATGCGAATCACTAGGGTCACCAATGCCACTAGGAACGCGATCGAGGCGGTCGCGCTTCCTCCTGGAATGTGGACCACAGCAAAGAACGAGCTTTGGGCACTTAGTTTCGTGCTCAATGTGTACCCGTAGTCAAGAACACACCCTAGAAATGCATTGAATACACATGTACCGGAGCACACTAGGTCTGATAGGGTCTTGCTTATATCGATCGATTCGGTCTTTAAGCGGAGCGTTGCCGGTAGCGACTTGGAAAAATTGACCGAGGTGTGACGTTTGTTGTCTTATTGACTGTTTGTAGAACAAAGGAATTTGCTTTGACTGGGATTTAAAATGCGCGGAAGCAATTCGGTGTCTGGGGGTAGCTCATCCCGAGTGTTGTGTGTACACCCGAATATTCATTATATCCATGATGCTTTGGATAAAAGAGCTCGTCATGGCTGACAGATTGTAATTCCATTTATGCAGAATTTGTGCATAAGCTTATCCTTCATGTCACAAATATACAAGAAGTACGATAAAGAATACTGTATAATGTTGAACAAGAATGTTCATATGATATGAATGAGAGTCGGAGAAGTGCCGTGTGAGTGCGATGGCATATTGGTGCCTTCATGCCTTCATGTAGTGATGCCTCATTCTGAAGGTGTCAATTTATGCCTGAGGCAATAATATCCTTAATGGATCTTATAATCGCTGACGTCACGATATTCCGCTATAGACTAGATCCACCCTAACAAATCGAGAACATCAAAATGACCTCAGATATGAGCCTTATCGTGGAGAAGTATGCCAATGAAGATGCATTCGAGAAGAGTCCTACCGGGACAAACCCACATTTAGGATGATGCGAGTGCGATAATGACGGTAGCATTATATGCTAAAGCGAATCATCACTCCCAGGAAGCCCGAAGCATCATACAAAATGTGGAGTACATTGTAATGGAATTTCGATTGGGAAGACTGCCGAGGTCGACGAGTATCTATAAAAGGGCAGTTCATCCGGGTTTACTGCTATCTCCTTCATAGCAACCTCTCTACATTTCTATACTTTCCATATCACTATCACCAATCCTCCACAATGGACAAACTTTCCGATCTCGCCAACAAGGTCGGAGGCAACAAGGGCCAAGAATACATTGACAAGGGTAAGATTTAGTGTCTATAACCTCGCGCATTGAACTTTTTAAGTTAACAGCACCAGGTATCCACGCTGTGGAGGATAAGATCGGCGGTGGCAAGGGTGATACCCAGAAGAAGGCCACCGATGCTGGCCGTGAGCAATTGGAGCAGACTGGGTATGATTTTTGGACTTTGATCGAAGGATATCGCTAATTGCATCTACAGAAAGGGTCTCCCTGACAAGTTCTCACGCTAGACACATGACATGACCTGATAGAAAAATACCAATCCGCTCATGTACCCAGATATAACACAATGAATAATTAATATCCTATTGGAAATGAATATCGTAGAAAAACACCGTCAATAGCGCTACAAGTTGGACAAAAGCCCTCCTATTCCCGACCCTAGGCCTCGACGGGATATTCACCCTACATAGTTGAAGTTGGTTTGGAGTCGGTCCTGGTCGAATTCGCCACAAGGTGCCCATATTACTGTTGGGCGGGTTCGTACTCCTTAGCGTTGAAATGTAGATTGCCCAGAAACCCCAATGTGGTTTGAGTTTCGGGGTTCTCTTTGCCCTTGCGGTGTTCAACCCATTTCACATATCGTCGTACCAACCAGGGGAAGGCTTCCGTAGCACGACTTTTGGTGTCAGTCCATGAACGAAGACAAGACTAAGCATCTTCTTAGAAAGGATTTATAGGCTTAGGGCTTAGTGTTCATACTCGACCTTGTGCGATTCGAGAGGAGAGAATACCTCCTGCAAGGAGGAAAACTCATATTCCTGGACTTTGCGTAGAGTCGTGCCTCGTCATAGATAAAACCCAGGGCTTATCATTATGATCCAAGCGTTACCGTGAAGGAGGTAAAGAGTCAATAAAACGGCCTTCGGTTTCACAGCAGATTGTAAGATATTGACATGGGGATATAAGCCTTTACGCCATAAACATCAATTTCGGCATGGCGCGGATCTCAACCTTGTCGGATTGCAGTTTCGCGTACTTTTCAGCTGCTTTTCCATCAAAGCGGTTGGCAGGCAGTCCTCGAACCAATTCGAAGAGACCGTTCTCGTTAATGATCTCAAGCTTCTTTGAGCCGGAATCAACTCCGAGGATCACATAGTTTGTCTTAGAGCTAAGGACCCCCACGACGTTGCCGCCATACTTCTTCATCAATTGCATGGCCTTCGGCCGACAGATTCCAGGACAAGATGGAATTTCAAATATAGACATGTACTCTGTAAATCAAAAAAATAATGCCTTGGGGTTAAAGGAAATACCCAGCGTTTGCTATGGTCTCTAGCGATAGAATGGCATTCGCTTGACGTGGAAATATCCCCTAAACCACTCAAAGGCAATTTGCCAGAAAGGAACCAAAAAGACGGAATCAATCCCCCTGTATTGCAAGCTGATAGAGAGCAGATCCAGGGGAGAAAGAGCAAAGAGAAATAGGAGAAGCCATTTCCCCTGACAAACAGTACCCGGCCTAAAGAAGGCACCAACTAGATGTCAAGTCACCTCAATTTAAACCACTGGCCATCCGCTTGAGAAATCAATCTTGTTCCACCCAAACAGTTTCTGCCCATCGGCATAGCCCACAGTGGTGTCGACGTAGTGGTAGTAAAGCACTGGGCCGAGGGTAGGATCCGTGAACACGCCCCTATAAAAAACGTTAGGTCAATATTCAATTCTTTGGGGGATTCGAGAACTTACTGTCCACCAGGACCGTAGACTGTGCCATGACTTTCTAGAACGACTGTGCCACCCCCGTTTGTACAAGCAGTCCCCGTGGCATCAACCTTTGATAAATAGTTAGGGCGAAATATCCAAAGCAAGAAAGAACAGTGGGTGGATAACATACAAATCCGCCAGTAGGCGAGGTCGATCGGCAGACCTTGATTTTGTACTCTGCGCCGCTGGCAGGGCGGGATTCGTCGAACTTACAACAGATGCCGGCAGAGTAAAAGAGGTAGTAATAGCTTCCATGCTTATACATATAGGGCCCCTCCACGGCATGTGTTCCAGACGGGTCGAACGCGAGATTCTGGGGCGAAGATGCGATTTTAGTGGCATCCGAGCTCATTGGAGCCTGGAAGATATCTTGCCAGAAGGAGCCGAAATTCATGTAGTAAGTACCACCATCATTGAACAGATTGCCATCAATGGCATTATACGCCTTGCCAGATGACGAGGCAATGCCAGTTGCCCCATGGTCAGTCCAGGAGTCCAAATCCATGGTTGCAGATGTGGCTAGTCCAATGGCCGAATCCTGTGACTCAAACGTCGATACAGAGTAATAAACGTGGTAAACACCATCCACAACCTGCACATCGGGTGCCTAACATGGAGGTCAGTATGTTCTTTACGACAAGCCTTGCACCAAGATCACACTTACCCACAGGTCTGTATTTCCAGCAAGATCAATAGAAGATCCACTAGGCAACATGGACCCAATGTCAGTCCACGGGCCGTCGATAGATGAGGCGCTTGCATAAGAAATCTTGTTGCCAGTAGAGAATCGGAAATAAAGATTGTCCGATGATCTCTGTATCAATGACGGGTCATGCACGATGCAGGCCCCTGAACAACTGCCAGGGTTTGCATATCCGTGCACGAGGGCTGCGAACAGCAACGGTTTGACGATATTACTAAAATGCATCGGGGGAATGCTAAACGAATAGATTGATCTTGGTCAGTAGGCTCCTGGGGTTACTGATATACATTTATTTGGTGAGGAGATGGAGGAATTATTGGTGGAAACCCGGACTTTTACTCCATCGGGCATCTTCTGTGCTGATGCCCGGTGGACTGATACAACACATACAGCTAAAAGACTGAAACGGAGAAAATTCTTCACCGACTGGTGGGAATTACCAGCTACCAGGCCCTAGTATCACGTTGAAACAAGAGTTTGTTTGTTTGCTTTTTCCCGTCGGAGAAAAGTGGAAATACCGAATTTTAACCGAGCAGTCTTCAGGGTGATGGTCCATTATGCATAGTTCACAGCAAACCAGCCATAACTCGCGTTAGGGCTTCATCTTCGGCATGAAATGCGTCCAGCGCATTAGGTGACCGTGTATCACCTTGAGGGGCTAACCCCACATCTGCTCCGGCGGCAAGGTCCGAACCGGACTGGGGGTCAAAGTAGAATCCACCTGCAATCTCAAAAAAGCTGCTCAAATCTTCACACACGTTGGGTTCGTGTCCAGCAACTGTACCGGGTGACATTGGCCAGACAGCGTTGGATGGGGGATGAGATTGATGGAGAGGAGTACAACGAGCAGCAGACTCTATTGATAACTGCGTTGTATCCCAAATTCCACGGGATGAAAGCGAATCAAGCGTCTCTTTCTCGGCATGAAATGATTGATCAGTTTCGCTATCCTTGGGATTCAACCGAATCCGCTTTAAACCGTGAAGAATCTTTTGCAGTCTCCGAGAAGTACGCGCACGCGTGGCCGAGCGGCGGACCATGTCCACGGCCGTATAAAATTCCGGTCGACAAACATGGCGGAAACGCGCCGGGTCATGTAAAACGGCCAAGAAGAGGGCAGCAAGTGCAGATAAGAGGAAATAGTTGAATGGCTCCGGTCGCTGAAAATATATATTTGAAACACGGCTGAAATAGTCTAGCATATGCACGGTGCTTTTGGCCGTTTCCACGGCGGTCGAGGCACCGGTCACATTGTCTGCTATGCGCTCATCACTGAGCAGGTTTTGTCGATACACCAGGATTCGAAGCTGGTTTGCCTGTAGAGCAAGAAAAACCTGAAGCATTATAGCTCGATCAGTGTGCTCTGATCCAGCATGGGAACGCCAAGATGGATCGAAACGTAATTCAGGCGGAATGGAATGGATCCATTCCTGAACCTGAGCATCTAAATAAGCGCAACCATCTGAGGTGGCCGCTTGTGACCGGTTGGGCCATCCAACAACCAGGCCCCATATCTTTGTGCTTAGCCGTGCATGAGAGATCAGGCAAGTCAGGTACGGGGTAGAGTGTCCCGGCTCGGGCAAGTTGGTATCAATATCGGAATCTTGAATGGCAAAGGGCAAACCTGTGCCAAAGGCACACTTGCGATCTAACACATAAATGCACCAGAACAATCGACTTGCCCATGTCCATTCCAATTCGCCCGGGAAAACACCTCCTGTCTTTTGCCATGTCTCTTGTCGATGGAGACCTAGCTCCGTACTCCCTCGAACCGCCATGCCAATTAAACGTCCAGCGATGACTTCATCATCACGGTAAGAGTGAAAAATCGACTGTGGCGGTTAGTTAGTTTTTTCTTTCTTTTTCTCGCACTGGAAGGTGGGGGGGAGGGGGGGTACACACCAACAGAGTCAGAATGAGAATTTCTTTCATGTCGACCTCAGCAATTTTCATTCGGCTGGCGAATCGATCCTCCACGCTGTCAGCCAGTTGGGCGGCGCGTTCACTGCGACCATGCGATTCGACTAGTAGGGCGGTCGCCAACAGGATCTTCAGCACCTGGACATCGCGAGCAGAGAACCAATCCTGATCCGATGCTGTCTGTATCAATGCAGACGAAGAATCATGAGACCGATAGAACTCAAGGACATATGCTCGCACTCCGTCTAAGTCGACACAGGGGTACATCACCCCAACTGTGTCCTCATAAACTTGGACTAATCGCAGGGTTTCATCTGCACCCAGGCTTCTCAAAGGATGCTTGAGTGGGACATTCTCACCCCTTTCCGACGGCGCAGGACTAGGAGCAGTTGATAGGTCAAGGTCTTCAGCGCAGTGGTCAATTGCGGGACAGTCACCAGCTTGGTGGGACAAGGACCTTCGGGCTTGAGTGAGGCCAAACTCCGCACTCGTCGGCCCGACATACGTTGGAGACTTGGGGGCGTCTAGGATACGGTGTAGGCTCCCTTTAGTGGGTGGAGCCGAAGGACGGGGGGATTCGAGCTCATGAACACGGGCGGAAAGGACCTGCATTTCCCGCCGCAGAGTTTCCAATTGCCTGTCCACTGCTTGGAATCGAGTATTTGCTCTAAAAAAAAAAAATCAGTGAATACATACACAATGACAACGCTAACCCCACCTTTCATCCTTAGGGTCAGTGTCTTGGGTCGATACAGAAGGGCGATTGGTGGCGTATACACAAGGAATTTGATCACGAGAACATCTCACACAGGCTAAACCACCACTGCATTTTAATTTGCGTCGTTTGCATTCATTGCTGTGGTGGTCAGTACCAGGCTGTAAGAGTACTAAGTACTAGAGACGCACCAAGCCACCTGGGTGTATTTAGATCTTTTTCTCCGCTGGAACGAATCATCCTCTCGTGAAGACCTCGGAGATTCGGAAACCATTGTACAGACAAAGTAACATTGATAGAAGGTGTCATAGCAACGGGGAGAGGTGGAAAGGAGAAAACCTCGGAACGCGGAAAGATAATTCCGAGATGTGACCCGCTCGGAGCCGTTCCACTGTGGGGTGGGGTATATGGTATATGGGGTAATATACGGGCTACGGGCATTGATTGAAACGCTTATGATAGTAAGGAAATTTCCGTCCATAATGACTGATCTAGTAAAATGCGCTGTTCTTTTCTTTTCTAGGTGGAATCGTGTACGGGACATTAAAAACATATATATACATTTGGGACCTTTTGAAGTACTCTCGGATATTTTATACATGTCCGCTCTTAACGTTGTAGTTAGCTAATTTAAAATGTGCAAAATGCCCTATGTATAAAATTTGCTGATGTGAAATTCCTATGATACTTGTTATGCTTATTCTTCATTAGATGTGTGACTTCCGGCAGCATTCCGAGTCAGCTAGTCGTGACGACACATTCTTGTTCGAAGGCACATCCAGCGACGGGTTGGCTCCAAAAAGTCCGCAGGCCGGATCATGAGCTGGAAAATTTCGACGGGCCTATTATAGTCAGTATACCAGAAGGAGAGAAAAGGGAAAATGCGAACATACATCACGGGCCAATCTTCTACACGAGGATTGTGGGTAATGCCGAAAGAGTTCCACACCACCACATCGGTGTCAACCACAGAGTCACCTCGGAGAACAGCATCTGAGACACCTTCAACTTCATTTTGGCTCTGCAAAGTATAACGACCTCCAGCATAGAGCTCCCCATCGCGATACTTTGTGACCCAAACGTGGTGTTGAGCAAATTGGGCTCGGCGCGCTTGTACCGATGCAGGGTCGGCCAGGAGGGTCTGAGTGGCCAGTGGAATGAATT